CCCTAACCACTCCGTCTCTTCCCCACAGCTTATTTGCCCATCTTCGCAGCACATGGAGAGGCGGCGGATCCTGTAGAATTGCCCCACTAGACAATTCTTCCAACGCGCCGCACCAGCTTCACGCACCGCCTTGGGCATACGCAGACCACCATTGATGATCTTAGGAGGAACATATGTGAGCCGATTCGCCTCCGAGATGCCGAATAACGACGCCCAGGGTTTCGATGGGATCCCCTTTGCTCCGTTCTCTAGCACCCCAGCAGCAGAAGATGCAGCCCTCTCGTCGCTCATGAGAAAAGGAAAGGAGGGGGAAAGGAAGCTGCTCTGAATTACTATCGTTATTATTGTTAATATTTTGTCAAAGTTTTTTCCAACGTGGGTATTAGTTAGGTCATATAATTCCATTATTATTATTATTTCCTTAGATTAGATGTTGCCTGGAAAAAGCATCCATTAATGTACCTGGCTAACTCCTATTCAAACGAACAAGAGCTTGGCCTAGTGGTACCACCTAGGGGTGATAATCGATTGGCGATTTCTTGGTTAAACGAAAACCGATCCGAACTAAGCGATTATTCACCAAACCAAAAACTGATAGCTTGTCTTTGGTAGCGGTGTCGGTGGGCTGGCGGATTTTTCAGGGTATTTTTGGCAGATTCCAAAAGGGTACCATCGTATATTTCAGGTGATTTTTTGGAAAGACAATTTTTGGTTAATTTTGGAGGCTACAGATCACAAATTCGGCTTGAGGCGGCCTGGGAATATTCCCCACCGATGTTGAAGTTTATTAATCGCCGATGTTGGTGAATTTTTTCGGAGAGCAATTTTGTAATTTTTTGTTTGCTTTTTTTAAAGGTTATTTTCATTGGATTTTGAAAGGTACGGACACGGGTTCTGCTAGAGAATATCTTTCATCGGTGATAAAGTCTATTAAGCACCAATTTGGGCTTATTTTTTCCGGATCCATTTTTCGTAGATTCCAAAATTGTACCAGCACAATTTCTGACGATTTTTTGGAATGACCGTTTTCGTTTTATTTTGGAGGCTACAGATCATCACGGATTCGGCTTGAGGCGGCCTGGGACTATTCTCCACCAAGGATGAAGTCTATTAATTTCATATATGGGTGAATTTTTCTAGAGGGCAATTTCATAATTTTTTGTGTGCTTTTTTCGAAATGTTATTTACCTTGGATTTTGAAGCTACGGATTACGGATTTGGCCTGAGGCTATCCTTCACCGATTAAGTCTATTAAGCACCGATTTGGGAGGATATTTTCCTTCTCAATTTTTGGCATATTCCAATGGGATACCATCACAGATTTCGGGTGATATTTCGGAAAAGCCATTTTCGTTGGATTTTGGCGGCTACATATTACGGATTCGGTCTGAGGCGGCCTAGGACTATTCTCCACCAAAGAAGAAGTCTATTAATCGTCGATTTGTGAGAATTTTTTCCTGGAGACCAATTTTGAAAATTTTCGTTCGCTTTTTTCGAAAGATCATTTTCCTTGGATTTTGAGGCTACAGATCACGGATTATGCCTAAGATTATCCTTCGCCGATGTTTAAATCTATTAAGAACCAATTTGGGTGGATTTTTACCTAGACCATTTTTGGCTGATTCCAAAGGGTTACTACTTACTATCACAAATTTCGGGGGATTTCTTTGAAATGCCATTTTCATTGGATTTTGGAGGCTACAAATCACATATTCGATCTGAGACTATTATCCACCGGGGATGAAGTCTATTAATAGCCGATTTGGGCAAAAATTTTCCGGAGGGCATTTTCGTTATTTTTCTTGGGCTTTTTTCGAAATGCCATTTCCCTTAGATTTTGAAGGCTATGGATCACGGATTTGGCCTGAGGCTATCCTTCGCGATATTAAGTCTACTAAGCATCGAATTTGGCGTATTTTTTTGGGTCCATTTTTGGCAGATTCCAAAGGGGTCGTACCATCACAGATTTCGGGCGATTTTTTGGAAAGCCCATTTTCGTTGGATTTTGGAGGATATAGATCACAGATTCGGCTTGAAACGGCCTGGGACTATTCTACCCTGATGATGAAGTCTATTAATCGCCGATTTGGGCAACTATTTTCCGGAGGGCATTTTCATAATTTTCCGTGCGCTTTTTTGAAATGACCATTTTATTTTGATTTTGAAGGCTACGGATCACAGATTCGATCTGGCATCTTTCCGGATAACGCTGGCATTCCTCCACCCCTTTGATCTTTCGATCTTCTTTTCTTTGCATGTTGTACCCTTTTCTCCTTCTGGTTTCAGGCTTTAGCTTTTTCTTGTCATTTCTGGGCTTTGTTTCTCCTTTTCCTAGGTGTTCCTTTCTCTCCCGTTGGTCAGTTAATCTTTTAATCCTCCGATCTGGTTCTTAGATCTGGAGATGGTGGCATGTTCTATGATGTGATTGGAGGTCTGATCTGGCTTGTCTTATCCTTTCCTCTCCCTCGTCTATCTCCTTGTTTTTCCTTGCAGATCCTAGTGAGTCAGAGATGCAACCTTTGGCTTCGGATGTGGATTGAAGAGCTAGAAGACATTAGTACCATCCCCTCAAGTTCTTTGGTCGGCGATAGGTTGGATGGTGTTGTCCTGAGTTCTCTTGGCGGGAGGCGGAAGTCGGCTGGCATGGAGAGGGTCGATGGGAGGTTCTCTTCCTTCCTTCCAGGTTAGGTGGAGATTTTTTCTATGTGGTTGGCGCTTGGCGGCAGTGGAATTCGCGACCATGCAGCGATGGCGACCTTGGTTGTGGCGGCTAGGGTTCCAGAGAGAGGGGGAATGGGTGGCTAGGGTTTGGAATTATCATTATGTTTTGGTCCGGGTGCAGGCCTTATAGGGTACCGGCCCACATGTGTTTCGGCTTCTTTATTTTGGATTTCAAGTCTGGTCATTTTTTCTGCTTGTACTTTCCGTTTGTCGCATTCTTAATAAAACACTCTTTTAAAAAAAACTCATCTTTTTTCAGCTTGTCATTTTCTCTCTGGCACAAGATCTGGGCAGGCCATTGTTTTGCACAAGCAGTTCGTCCGGTTTTATCAGTATCTCTTTGTCGAGGAAGTTCGAACAGTGGTCGAGGATTCTGAGTATTTTTTTGTTAGTCTTGGATGACTGTTCGTGGGTGATTCCATTCCAGCGGATGGGTTTGTATCCAACCTCTGTATTGTGGATCTCGACCAAGGATCTGAAACTGAAAGAGAGCAGTGATGGATTAGAGACTGAAAATGAGGCAGAGATGCATGCAACCACAGGAAGACAATATATGGAGAATAATCTAGGGGAAATATATTGAAAGACAATTATAATTTGATATTTGGTTTGGTTGTATTTTACAATGTATTAGCGCTCTACCCTTGTTTTGATGAATTCGTGAAGATAGAGAAACAAGGATGACGGGGGAAAGATGGAATGTGAAATTGAGAGATCAGAGATGATCGGGCGGTGGATTACATTTGAGATAAAAATAGAGTGAAGATCAGGGGAGAGTAAGTGAGGTGGTGTTGTAGCTTTTTGTGAGCAAGATACAATCAATTACAAATTTAGCTATATACCTACAAACTTACAAGGAATTACTCAAACATTCGTATCTTGAAGAATCTATTTAGTCGACATACATTGCCACAGTAAGAAGGCATAGATGGGAGAAGAGAGTATTGGTAGCTGCAAATTTTTAGAGCGACGATTGTGGCAACACCTGTGTAATATTTTTAATAATGAACTAGAAACACTAAATTTAGTAGCCTTGGCCTACTTTTCTCAAGGATGAAACGGACCCACTGTAAATTAAGTGCGGTTCCACTTTTTTGTTCATCCAAATTTCCAAATTAAATGACACGATCAGTTAAAACTTCCTAGTGATTTCACTTGTCGCCCTCGATTGAAAGGCTCATCAGTACTCCATGGTCAATCTATGTATACATTGCTTGCCAGCAGGAGACAAAAGACCAGCCTTGTTCCTTCAATTCTGTCAAGTTTTGAAAAATTCTATCTCACCAACTCGCTATTGTTACTATTTTGTCAAAGTTTTTACCAACGTGTGTATTTATTAGGTTATATAATCCCATTATTATTATTATTATTATTATTATTATTTCTTCAGATAGATGTTGCTCTTTTAAGGATAATTGGAGAGTGTCTGGGGTTCTGTTGGGGTTGTGTTGGGACTTGGGAAGGATTTTTGCAGGGGTGGGGGTGGTTTTGCCCTCTGCTTGGACTCTGTTTGCGGCCGGGCGCTTTTGCCTCTGCTCTTTTTCGTTTCCTTTCTTCCCTTTCCTTTTGGGTAAATTGCAAGGTTGGTCACTGAAATTACTGAAAGTGTTCATGTTTGGTCACTAAAAATATTTAATTCCATTAATGGTCACTAAAATTAATTAAGTGTTTCAAGTTTGGTCACTCTCCGTCCAACTCCGTTAGTTTTGTCTGATGTGGCAGTCAACTTAAATAGTAATTAATTTTTAAATTGTAATTGATTTCGCCATTAATTAAAAAAAAAAGATAGATGTTGCCAGGAAAAAGTGGCCATTAAAGTAACTGCTACTCAAACTCAATCCTCTTGAATTTCCACGTCAACACCATTTCCCGCGTTACTTTGGCGCGTGTAGTTAGCAGTCTTATCTAATGGCTTCTGATACAATCATTAATTCCTTCTAATTATAATAGTCAATTGAGCCAATCACTTTCTTAAGCAGCATCAATATCGTCGTAGTAGTATGCTCAACCCCATCCACGAATAACATAATTAAACGATTAAATCGAAAAGCGATCCCTGAAAGGTTGAACATTTGCTAGGCTAGGCATCATTTAGGACTTCTGTTCTGTGCACGTGGTTAATTTCTTTCTGTTCTCTTAAGTATTTGTTGATTCTTGTGCTAACTACTTAACTTAATTCAATTTATCTTTTGCTTGGTGGAATTAATTTAATTATCTTTCTTGTGTCCTGAATCATGGTAACGTAATTCTTGTAGTATGTATTATTAGTTTTTTTCACCATAAATTGTCCCGATAATCAAAATGATATTACTCGTAAAATTATCGTTGACTCTTAATATCATGTTCACATACTCTTTAAAAAGAGATTAGATAAATCGTTTATGATATATACATGGGACAACAGAATAAGAGATTTTGAGATAATTTCATGAAACTCCTTGAAGCAATAAAGAATCAATTATTTTGAACCTATGTTCTTTTTTTTTCCTTCTAATTACAACGTATAATAAGGGTAAAAAAATAAAAGAATTATCTTCAATCAGTGTTTGGGCCTGATCTCAATGCCATGGACAATAAGCCCAGCTTTCAGATGGTGGCCCTTCACTTCCTTCAAGCCCATCTTCACTTCCTCGCTCTCTTCCCCGGTAAAGAAGTCCCCAATCTCAATTTCCAACCAACCGTCTTCCCTCTCCGCCGGCAACCTCCCTTCTCCCCCACCGCCGGCCACCATCGACTTCAGCGCCTCTGTCCGGTGCCCAAACATCAGTCTCTCCATTAGCTCCACGTGGCTATTTCTCTGGCGCCTTAAGTACGCTGTGTTTTGAATCTCTTCTTTGTTACCCACCTGAACCGATACTTCGGATGGCATCAAATCGAGACCAAAAGCTCGGTCGGATAATTTGAGTACGAGGTAGGCTCCGTATTTGGTGTTGGGAGTTAGCATTTGAGTGTTGATTTTGCCTTGGATCTCGAGCCACGACATTGTTCGGAGCACTGCAACTTCCGAGAATCTGAAAAGAAATCAATGGCATAAACTGTGAGCAATGAACCAACTTGAGCTTGACAAAAAAGATCATTATCCCAAAAAATTCAGTGTCTGTTTGGTTCCCGAGAAAAATGTCCTACCTTGATTCGGGAAGCGGAGTCCAAGCCCAGTACATGGATTCACTACTCCAGGTTATTGAAAGATCTCTCGCCGACAATTCGTAACATTTCATCCCCGACTGTTTCTCCAGCTTGAATCTCTGCAATTTCCAAGAAAATAAGAAGCGAATTAACCGCCGGCAACAAAAACACATGTACAGATGTACTATTGAATTCCTTCAATCCGATCAGTAGAAAGTAAAAAAAAAAAAAAAAAAATTGTAACCCACCTTACGGCCGCCGTCGACGAGAACAGAATCGCAGAGCATGCGGTAGAGCTCCTTCTTGGAAGAGAATTGGAGGGCGGGAACGGATTCGGCGACAATGCGCCGGTAATCGGACGGCAGGAAATTCTCCCAGACAGCATCGGAATCGGCGGCGGATTGAAACTCGGGGGAGACCTTTGACGAACGGCAGGCGTCCTGTGGGGAGGTGAAGCAGAGGATTGAGGACAGGCAGTCTTCCGGCAGCGCGTTGATCAACTCCATTTTTTCCTTTGAATTTAAATTTCGTCGCTAGAAAGTCAGAAATATGGTCGCTAAAAAAGTTATTAATGAGATGGCGAGGATATTTTTGAAGAACAGAGAAGGGTCCTTGGGTTGGAAAAGCAGGGGATGGGATGGATTGAATTTGGATAAATGGGTTTTTGGGCTATTTATAGGGGAGAGAGAGAGAGAGAGAGAGAGAGAGAGAGAGAGAGAGAGAGAGAGAGAGAGAGAGAGAGAGAGAGAGAGAGAGAGAGGAAAGTTCCTTGGTCAAACTAAGACAACTCAAAGTGGGCATCTTTGGTAGTTGTAGCTTTCTTTTATTTTTAACTTTTCTTCTTTGTTGAGTGAATTACAAGCTTCCCAAATTTGGTAGAGAGTGAGCTTAGAAAGGGTTGAATTTTATATGCTAAAACACTTTGCTAATGAGTGGATTTAGTAGGATGATTAGCCTTGTTTAAAACAGAATATTAGTTAATTGTTGCTTTCTACCAGGCAAACCACAAGCTCTATAATATAAATTTGGGTGGCAGATATAAGTTCATTCCCCGACCATGCATATTGCATATAGATATCCTTTTTTCCGGCAAACCAAACGACATTTTGTAACATGGCCAGATAATTAGATGTTCTATGGTCAGTATTGGTTTGGTTGGCTTGTTAGGGACAATGTTATCAAATGCCTAAAGGAAGTGCAATCATAATTTGTCAATACATCAAGAGCATTCTAATCGTGAAACTTCCAAATTCGATTTTATTTTTCGACTTCATAATCAATCGATAGACACTAAAACTTCATATATGTATGTTCCTTATATATGTAGCTTTGATTTTAAACACTGTACTAGTAAAATGTCATTCACTATCTCTAATTATTTTCAAAACCTAACAATTAAATAAATTTCAAGCTACCATTAATTTGTATTGATTTTATGGTTGCACGACAAGTGTTGAAAGGGTCTTTTCAACTTTGGATTACATAAAAAACCAAGTTGAGAAAATCGAATATGTGATTAGTTCGTGAATGATTGTCTAGTAGGATACACAAAGTCAATTTTTTGAGCAGTGTAGGCACCAAGTATATTCTACAATTATTTCCGAATATGAAAACACATAGTTGACTTTTTTAAAGTTGTACGAGTCATATATTTTTTTATTTATTTTATTTTTTAAAAGGGGACACTCCTATGTAAAAGTCATGGATCCGCCACTGCCAACAATCTCTCGATAAACCGTTTAATATCCCAATAAATCAATATCCTCGTGATTGAGTTTTAACTTTTAGGTTATGCTCCATTAATGGAGTAGAACATAGCTTATGTTGATGATCTTAGACTAAGAAACAAGTCATGATCAGAGTTGATTGCTCTTGCATGCAGTTGTGGACACATATGCATGCAGTTGGGCACCAATAAATGCAGAACTGCGTATATCCGTGATTCCTAAATAGAAGAAATAATGCAGATAGAACTCGTGAAACTTAAGAAAATGTGATGTGACAGTAACATGATACACTCAAAATAAATGGGGATCAGTACTATTCGCCTCGCCCACATGGGGCAACAAAGCAAGTTCATATATTTGTGTTCGATTGCTGTCTTGCTGACCTGACCCAAATTCATCCAAACCTACAAAGAGCCAAATAAATTGATTGCTGGGGAAGAAGCTCCTAATTATAAGAAAAAATCCATCCTCATCATCGATCGACTTATTGTATAATATATAAAAGCAGCTGGTAGCATAACATCCATATATATACATACTCTTCTCCGATCGAGCAATTTGAATTATTGGTGTCACTGTATAAATTTAATATCACTTCTTTACATTGGATGATGGAATCACAGGCCCGAGAATAAAATCGCCGGCCGGAGGAAAAGAGCCGACCAAACTATTCTCCTCATAATCAATCAATCTTCTCAACTAATATTCTCTTGTAGCTAGAAAAGAAGCCCCACATATATTAATGTACGTTGACATCGTTCATGCATGTTGACATTAATTGAATCGGGGTGTGGCCGCCGGCCGGACCGCGCCGGACTACATTTATAAATTCCCAATCTGATGAGAATCTGTAACTAAAATGTTGGCAGCTCGCCAGACCAATTTCTGAAGTCGTACTTAATTACGCCGGACATTAACAAATAAACTAAATTAAAGACCGATATTCATGACATAAACTGCCATGAATATATTATATGAAGATAGAACCATTTCACTTGCGAAACTGTCATACCAGCATATGCCGGTTTGACGACCTTTGTAACATCCCGACATTTGAGTCTAGAATCGAGCGAAAAATGGGATCGACTATTACGTACGAAGTATTACAACCGTGAATTAAGAATCTACACAATAAATAAAAGCCAAATGAGAAAATTTGAAGCCACATTTCAAATTTACTGCATTCAGAGTGAAAGTAGGAAGGACATTTTAGTCTTCACAATTACTTTTTTTTTATTCATTAAAAAGACACGTACTAGGATTCGAATCATGACCACTTTAAAGAAAAGTAAAGATCATAACCAATAACACTAAGTACATTTATTGTATCTTTTTAAATTAAAAACATATAATAGTAGAGAGTAAAAAACCATTCCTCCATTTCAAATTCTCTGCTCCAGGAGCGTTTGTAGGAAAGGTAGAATAGGGAGTGTCATTTTATTTCTTTTTCCTCTGTGTAATGGGCCAACTTACCCTACACATGTGGATTTAAACGGGTCGAGAAGTGTCAATTATTTTCTTTAAACCCTTTTATTTCTTTGTGGTGGTAAAATATATATGAAAAGGCAAAAATAATACTCCTTTTTATTGCTAAAAATAAAAAAAATTAACAATAAACTAATGCATAGATTCTAATGGGCTAACCGCTAACCATAAAAAAAAAGTTGAATGGACCTGACCTACACGAGATTTGGCCATCAAGTAAAACAAATGAACATCATGGGTTTGCCATTCTAAAACAAGTTATTTTCTAAAGCAAGTATTTTAAAGTTATTCGATGGTTCAACCTCGACCAACCCAATTAGTCAAATTTTTATCATTTCAAATATATATTATGTAATTATTTGATATCATAATGATTAAATTATAGTGTATTTTGTAGGGAACTGTTTGGTATTATTTAATAAAGACTAAACAGAAAGATCTATTTGGTTATTTTTAACAATAAAATGATCCTAAACATTTTCGGTTTCCTTTCGAATTTCTATAGTTTTATTCCCGAATCAGTGATGTGCAAATGGCGAATTGCAGTCATCTCTTTTCTTTCACTATTTTTTATTTTCAAATAGAAAGTTTAAAAGTAGAGAATAATTAGAGTTTGGCATGGGTCGGTCAAACAGGCTGAATTTCAAGTTTTAGCCCGTTTTGATCAAGTCTAATTTATAATCACATGGTTCCCTGATACCCGATAAAAATCTCAATCCAAACCAGTTTGGCATGTGAGTCTGTGTTTACCACCATTTTCTAGGGATACAGGAATGACGGTTCCTATCCCAAATTGTGTTGTTCATTCTTGATTTCTTTAGATTTTATCATAGTCTGGCAAAAACCAAAAAGCACAATGACGACAAGATGAAAGTTTTATAAAGCAAATTAATCGGCCAACGGGTCGAGTAAAAGCTAGCAACGATTGTGAGATGCTCATTTCCCGAAAACTAGCAAGATGGGCGATTTTTTATTTGAATTTCTGGAATTCGGTTTCTATAAAACTTACTCCACCTCATCATATTACCAGAAACAATATTGTTTCGCAAGGTAACATGTACTTGATTTTGGTTCATAAGGCTGATTTTTTATTCGTTGCATCATTCATATCTCTTTCCTACTAAAATTCACTATTTTTATCACGTGTTTTCCAAAAAAAACTATACAACAATAAGCTATACACCCTGTTACATTATCAAATTTCATATATCACCTTCGTCCGACCAACTGGTCGGGACGCACGCTAATAATAATAATAGCTATTAGTATTATTATTATTTTATAAAAATTACAAGCCTAACAATTCCCCACCTGTCGGTTACCTCCAACTATTACCACTAGACAAATAAAACCCCCAACCCATCTCCCGTTATGATTAATTCCCTAAATACAGTAATAATTAATAATAATTCCCAGAATACATGACCGTTATAAAAAATTCCCAAACTACCAAAGTTTGACAAGGTTCGAGTTCAACAAACTCGAACTAGAACTGGATCAAGTTTATTAAGCGCGATTTAGGTAGATCGAGGATAGAGAACTCGATCTTACTGACTTGGATCGATGACATGGGCAGAGCTCCACCCTAGATCGATGTATCGGGAAGCGATCTACACCGTTCGATTGCCAAACCCGCGAAGCAGTGATGACGCGGATTGAGTGGGGGAAACTCGATGAAAGTGGATCGAGTCTGTAGTAATCGATCAGCTTGACGCGGAACGATGACGTTAGGCACGCACTACCGTCGATCGAGTACCCTAAACTCGATCTGAGTCGTTCGATTTACATACCCTCGACCTGATTTTGACGCGGATCGAGTGCTCCAAAATTGATGCAGTGGTTCGAGTGACATAAACTCGATCCACTCTCCCACATAATTTATAAATACCCCATTCCATTCCACCAAAACTCACACCAATCCATTCTTCTTCCTCTCTTCCTCCCACCACTCTTGAAGAAAAAAATATGCCTTGTGGTTGCGGCTAAGCCCGATCTTCCGCATCAATTTTTTTCTCTTTAGTTTGGTACTTCTATCACTCAAAATTGTCGAGATGGATCCGAGTATTTATGATCCTAGATTATACATTTAAGGCGAATCGCGAGAAACCGATTTGTTGGATGAGCAACCTTACCATCGACCTGAAAGTGTTTGGGCGGCAGATCCGGTAAGCACTTCCTCGTGTACTTATATTTTTTTAAATGTGATAGTATTCTTCTATTTTTTTTGTATAATAATTAATGTTTTTTTCTACAGGAACAACTTGACGTAATCACCCATCGATCGCTATCTCGCTTGCCTAAATGGGATGATCGTATCGAGCCCTTCATTGAAAGAGCGCGATTGCTGAGGGTGCGAAAGTTTGTGGGGATGGAGATGGACAACAACCTTCTTACAAAAATGGTGGAAAGATGGAGAAAAGAAACACACACATTCC